GTATAAAACACACACACACACACACACACACACACACACACACACACACACACACACACACACACACATATATATATATATATATATATGTATGTATGTATGTATGTATGTATGTATATGTATATGTATATGATGTTTGTATGCTATATTTCTATTCTAAATAAAGCACATAATAAGTCTTTCTTGTTAATAATGCTCAGTGCTGAATGAGGTTTCATGTAATGGTGACCTCCTCTCGTTTCGTCCTTAATGTTAGTTCTGATAGCGATTTGAATATTGCTCCATGCATTCCTTTTATGGTTGAACCACTGATTTATTATTTAGTGTGAGTTTTGCTTAATTCCTTTTTACTGAGCACATTGTGGGATGCCAAAGGGTCAGACAAGACGCGGGTCCCTGAACATTATGATGTTAATCGTGACCTTGACGTCCACGTACGGCTGTATTTACATAAAAGTATTTGTCACGTGAGCGCGGAGGTTGGAATGGACTGGACAGTTGAGCAGGTGGTTGCCACAAACTTTTAACTATAGCTACTGCCCGCAAAGAAATGAACACAACTATCCGTAGCTACTTTGCTATAAGTGTAGAATATTATAAGTATATCATAAGCATCTACACAAACACATTTATGTCAGAAATGACCACTGTGTTTAATTAATAAGTCTCTGCTGCTCGCGCCTACGTCTGTCTGACACGCATCTTTGCGCACAAGGGTCTCCCCCAAATTTCTACACGCACGACTCATGGCACCAGCCCCGAGAGCTGATGCTTTTCTTATCTATTCATCATAAATCACTAAATCAGCGGTGGGTTTTTGAATCGTGTCTTAATTACTGAGAGAGATGGCATGGAAAGCAATGCGCAACGTGAAGCATGGTCTCCCATTCTAAACAGCTGGAGTGAATCATCGGCTTGCCTTAACATCACGATTTGGCCATTTGGACATTTCTGGATTATTCTACCACATTGTCAAGTAAATTCAAATCTTGTAAGATTATTTATGATACATAATGGAGATGATTTGCAGAATGTAATGCATTACTTTTTTCATTTAGGTTACACAAACGTGCACGTCACTATTCTCATTAGTATTCAGTGGCTACAATTTCTCTTAAACAAATCCACTATAATGTAGGCTACATTTTTACTACCGTAGAAGTATTGCTAATTACTAGTATTACTCTGAAATTGCACCTCAAAAACTCTTCATTGCACAGTCATTCCCAATATTTTAGCAGGATATTATCTGGGTGTATTGGGTACATATAGAACAAACATGCTATTTTCAACGTGCTTTTTAGAGAAGCGCACAGTGATTCAGGCTATACTTTTCTTGCCCCTTTTATAAATAGCAGTGCGCCGTCTCAGTGACGTGGGATACGCACGTACATGTGTAGGTGAATCTTTGAATGAGCTCGAGCTCCCCTCCGCCCCTTCCCGCCTCTCTCCCTCCTCCACCCATCTCTCTACGAGTTACTACGGGATCTCTATAAAAAGCCTTGGGTTGATGGGAGAGCCCGGTCTGTGTAAGACTTTGGAGAAGAGGAGCCACAAGTCACATTCCCACCTCACTGTCCTTAAAGTTGAGCCAAAGGAAAGGCGTTTTCTTCTGAGGAGAGATCAAACCTGGGGACTTGCAATAGGTAAGTACATCTCAACTATATACTCGGGTTTACATTTGGGGGTCACCTCTTCTAATATGAAAGCGTGTTTCTGAAAAGAGGGTCTGGATCGTGATTCGACTGACACGGCTCCAGTCTTGGTGGAAGTTGCTGCAGTGTGAGTCATGTAGTCTCATGTGGGCAGCTACTGCAGCTTCAAAAAGAAAAGAAAAATGTTTTTATGTTCATTTTGTCTTTGAGATAAACAGAAGTCTTATTAGTAAAATATGTTAAATGTTGTAATTATGTAAAATTTTCATCAACTTACACCAAAGTTCTAAAGAAGACAGAGAGAACAAACTGTGCGTAACGGACTGTACCCTGAAGTGAAATGCGCAAATGTCACCATGCCGTGTTCTGTGAGGCGCGCGCTGGCACACGCACGTGCCTGTGGTGTGTGTTACTCTTGAGGGTGTGAGACTGAGTGTGTGTGTATAAGATTGGGCTCCTCACAAAACCCTTGGGGGCGCGTGGCACTGAGAGGTTTCCGGTGATAGTGATGACATTATTATAAGCATCACTTACTTCCGGTGGCACACTTGTCTTCATTTCTCCCCCCCTCTCTCTCTCGTGCACTTCCGGCTGGCGATTTGCTATAACTTTTTCTCTCAGTTGTGTGCGCGCCCGCGTGTGCGCGCTTGTGATGTCACTGACCAGTGAAGTAAATCCTTGCGTCACTCCGTGCGCACTTTGCAGATGATGCGCAGCCAGTCACCTACTGTAACCCACCACACACAAAGGCAAGAGCGAACACGCACACACGTAACGCACGCGCAGCACGCCGCTACAGTAGTGGTTGTGGATGGAAGGAAGAATAGATGGATTAGGGTTGCGGAGGTGTTAAAGGAGTTAGAGGGACTCGTGCACGCGGGCAGCACGAGGGAGGCAGTGGGTGGAGCAGTCAATGAAGCTCCTTGTTCATTCACAACTTGATTCTCGTTCGCTTTGATCAGGGCCACAATTACAGCAGGTGCAGGTGATTAATAGGGTAAAATGTAAAAGTATAGGCGACATCAAATTCATAAATGTAAACCCACGTAAACAGAAGCAAGGCTGAAGAACATGCATTGGGGAATTTCATAATTATTTTTATTTTATTTATTATTTTTTATTTCATCATATGCTCACCTAAAGGTCTCTCTGACTAGCTGCAGACTAAAGAAACTGTTCTAAATCTCTCCCCCTGCCTTGCCAAATAATTTGAATGTCCTTCTGGACCCTTTACACACAGCTTCGGTCAGTGGGATCGCTGGGACTCACGTATAACACGTCCAAGCCCCCGTGAACGTTGTCTGTGAGCCGGTGATGCTCGACCCACGCTCCAGAGCAGGTTTCCCCGGCGCCATGGAAACCGACCCAGACCGAGACACTGCCCACGCACTCTGATAAGCCAGGCTCCAGTACAGCACGGTGCACCATTGGTGTGTTAGCGGAGTGACGTCAAGTGGGCAGCCTTCAGCCCTCGAGTTGAGCACGTGACCTATGTCGAGAGCAGAAATGGCGCGAATCAGCTGACCAACATGGCATGTGCGTGTTCAGGTCCAAGACGTAATTCTGAGACCTCCGCCAAACTGGGTCGTACGTGGATGAACGGATGTGACGTCTTATGATCAAGTTCCCGAATATTAAAATAGAGTAATATGGAGGAGTATGTAATGTTAGCCCCAAATTCTTAGAAACGAGTTTAATTTGTGTTTGGTGTAGTAGTTGTCACTGCTGTTGTGACAACGGTCTTTTTCAGCACCACGGACAGCGCCAGATCTAAAAGCCACGCTGTTGCTGTCCCCGCTGTTGGTGCTGAATTTCATTTGCACAAACCAAATCTGAAATAGCCTGCACGTGTGTAGCTACTCACAATATGCAACAATTTAACATCCCATTCTTAAGACTAATTCCATCATAAGCTGTAGACAAGATTGGTGTTAATATTTTATTTCACTGAGAGAAAAAAAAAAAAAAAAAGACTCAAAACTACAACGTAATGATTTGAACAGAGTATGATTAAGAAGAAAAGAAAAACGTGCTTTGCGGTGATTGGGGTGTGCAGGTGGGGACTAGGTTGAATAAGGACATAAGGACACAATGGCTACCTACTACTGTGATTGCACTGATTGCAGTCTGTAATTGTCTGGTCTTGTCCTTGTAAGTTCACCAATCAAAGCTTTTAAGTTTCTTCTCAGAGCTACATCATTTTATTCTTCTTGAACTTATTTGGCCCCAAGAATCAAAACTTCTCCGGTTTGCCTCATATAGCGAGTCATAGTTAACAATATGAAGTTGTAATGTCATATCATTTCATACTGCTGTTCAAAGGTTTAAGCAACACACAGTGTAGACTGATAATGAGATGTGCGTCAAACAGTGATATTATTTCTAGTGTCACTCAGTTATTCAAATATGAAAAACTGGGTCAGACTCAACATAACAGTAGGTGGGCGAGGCTTCTGTCAGTCACATTCAAGGAATAAATATGTATTCGTTTCATAAATACAGAGATGATAAAATGTAGGAATTTAAAGCTCAGTTGTTAAGAAATCAATTTATTGACTAAACTATTGGTAAGTAGGTTGGCTGGGGAAAATACCAATAGAGTGTAGCACAAACTAATGTTGTTTTTGATGATTACTTAATACCTATATGTCATAAAGCAAAACACATGTATAAACACATATAGACATAGATCTAGGTCTCTTAAGGTTGCCATACCTAAATTGCATTTGCAATTTCAAGTCTAAACAATGCTGTCCAAGCCTTAATAAACATGTGAATAGAATTCATTGTATCTGGTGCCAGAACCATACATCTGAGGTATTATCTTGATGCTGTGAATTCAAGTATGCATCATGGCATTTGACAGTCATGTATATTGAACGCATATCAATTATTGATCAGACTTGAGCCAATAGTTCACTTCTACGTCATTGGGATTTCCATTATCCTCTGCGGTGATTGCATTAGGCTCATGTGAACTGTGCCAGACTGCATGGATGGATTCCTCTAACCTTAATCTCAATTCTTTATCCAGGTATTTGAGACTCTGTCCTTCTCTTCTCTGGGCCAGAGCATCAGCACCTTGGCTTTAGACTGCTTACTGCTTATAGAGTGACACAGTACAGTAACAGTCTACAGTCATGGCTACTGAAGCCTGGCAATGCACCAAGAGCCCTGCTGAGCCACAACAGGAATGTCCTACTCACACTAAGACAGAGGTGGGTAAATAAAAATCACATACTTACTTGGGTTATCTGAATAAACAACACTTTGTGAGTAGATTTACTGAAATGTGCTTTTAACTTACACCATCATTATTTTGAAACAAAATAGTGAGGCTGAATATGTTGTGAAGAAAATGTTTATTGTTTTTTCTTATAATTTTTTAAGGACGTAATTTTTATTTGGATTGATTTTTACAATTTAAGATACTATATTTTAACACCTCATACCACCAATCAATTTAAAGTAACTTGAACATTTGAAATGGAAAAGAACACCATTGGTAGTTGGTATACACCAGCAGTCTCTAACCCTTTTCCCCTTGTGAGCTTATATTTAAAAAACAAAAATGCCAGAAAGCTTCTAATTGGAGTATATATAAGCCACAGTAAGGATTAGATGGGGAAGAGTTAGATGCTTATATACCATAAACCACTATAGATGTATTAGTGCAAGTTAAGCATCAAAATTGTTTAATAATAATTAATAAAATTTTAGCACAATACGTAGAATTCTGAAATCCTTTGGTAAGCTACATAGAAGGGGGTGGAGAGCTACAGGTTGGAGACCCCTGCTATACACGCATTTATTTTAATCAACAGTCAAGACATTAGCGAAGTTCCACATCGTAAAAAGAAATAACAATGGGAATGTTCTAGTTTCAAACACTTTATCTATTGCACGTGCATACCTCAGTTCAACTGAATACGCTAAAATACAACAGAATACTTCAATATACAAACACTTAAAGTTTTACAACCCCTTGTGAAACATTTTAATCTCCACCCTTCCCCACCCCCAGATTCGGGGGTGCCCTGGGTCTGTGTGGGTGTGCATTGAGGGTGGGTGGGATGAGTGGGTGGGGTGTCCTTGCTGCGTGTCTCTGTGCTGCGTAGCATCGACTCACAGGAACTACACGGACCAATCAGATCCCTGTCTGCGGTCGGTGCAGTTTCCATGCCGACCTCCTCCACCGCTGTCTCCATGGCAACCGTGGCTTTAGATTGTTACTCTAGCAACTGCCACCACGGTAACAGTCTACAGCCATGGTCGTTAGGGGCAGGCATCGTCGGGAAGCAAACATGGAAGAAGAGGAAACTACATTAGATTATGTTTTTGGGATAGATTCTTGAACTTTCTGTGAAAAGTTGTGATAGAAATTAAACAAAAGGTGCAGTGATTGGTAAAGGTCAAAAAGGGGAATGGTATTTATGACAGCATATCAGAGGCAATGAGGTATTCTGCAACAGAATGAAGAAAAAAAAAATAGCAATACAGCTCAAACAGGCACAGAGCAAAAAACGACAAGCAAAAGAACAAAATACTTTTTTTTTACTCAAGAAACTGGGTACGAATATTTTAGTAGAACATAACAATGTAATGTATATCTATAATTTCTTATATTGTGACTACTTAAACAGTACATGAGTAGAATATTACAGTGAAAGGCAACTTAGTAATAAGTGATGAATAATATGTGATATCCAGTTATTACATGCTGTGCTTTGTGTTGATCATTTATTGTGTGTAATTGTCTTTTTCTAAGTGGACAACATTAAAATCTGAAAACCGAATGTGTCATAGTCTTGGTTATTGTCACGTCCTGAATGTTAAACGGGTGAGTCATACTTACACCTGTTCACTGTGTGTGTGGGCGCGTATTACTAGCGATGTGGGGACACAAAATTGTTTACTTAGTAACTTTATGGGGACAAGACAAAATGTTTTTAAAAAGTTGAGATATGGGTTAAGGATTAGGTTAAGGTTAGATAAGTAGTTAGGATCAGGTTTTAAAGAAATGAATGTAGGCAATCCAAAGTCCCCACAAAGTACAGAAAATCAACTGTGTATGTGGGTGAGGGTGCTCCATCCCACCCCCGCGGTGGGACATCCCAGGGGCAGCATTCACAGGGGCAAAGCTGCACACATGCACATATTAAAAAACACTGTATTCTACAAACGACATGGACTATTTGAACATGCACAATCTTATGTCTTGAGTTATTCTGCCCCCTAGAGGTGATAAACTATAATGCACGTTATTAACTGTAAAAATGACATACAAAATAAATCTTATCTATGTGCATGGGATTGTAATAGAACATACCATTCCATAATACTAAAAAAGTCAAAGCAAACAATAATAAGATCCAGGCCACCCTACAGCGTATGTTTTGTCAGGTTAAGATAAATGACACATGATAACATCTCCATACAGACCATGTTATCTTTTATCAAAGCCTTCAGAGATGTAAAGTCTTGATGCAAAGGTGAAGAGATCCGCTTAAAAGACAAGAATTATTTTTGTCTTGAACTGCTACAGACAACTGAGACCTGAATGAGGCGTTTAGCTTGATCATTTATGTGACTCTGAATCCAAAAGTCCTGGTCGTCTCTGCACCGTAAGAGTTTATGAGCTGAACAGAGACACACAGCACATAAACTCTTACTGTTCAGAGCAGACAGGAAGACAGCAATCTCAACTCTCGACAGGCTTCTATACTTCTCAAGTGCCTGTACAGTACTTTTACATTTTTACTTAATTTGGTGCTATAATACCTGTTGTAAATATAAATTATAGTTTCAGCCTATTACCACTGCACATTTATTATTTTGATGCCTAACTTTGTACACTAATAAATAGATAGTGGTTTATGTTTTATCTTTGTCAAAACTGTACCTCATTTAAGCCTGAAATATACTCAATTTCTTGAAACCGCTAAAGCAAGTAGCTCTCTGGCATTTTTGTTTTGTAAAGGTAGCTCACCAGAGAAAAAAGTCTGGAGACCCCTCATCTAGCATATATTTGTACAGGTGATTTTATTGTGAAAAATGCATAGAGAAACATACCTTTCTACTACATGAGTGAGGTTGCAGCTTCACAAATCTGACCAATAATTTTGTCCTGTGAGCTTGTTTCCAAGGACACGTACACATTTAATCCCATGCTGTGTGGACAATTCCAGACAAACAAAAAAGAAGCAGGTGATGGAACATTCACCAGATAAGTTTTATGGACCTCTTATTTAGGTCCGCTGTCATAGCAATAAACTATTTGATATACAATATTGTATCTTTGAATGAGAGAAGACCTCATAATGTTGCAGCTAATAGGAAACTGAAACCCAATACAATTTAAAAATATTCTAATTTAAGTAATACATTGACAAGGACATTTGCTTGAAAAATGTACTTGTTACCTGTTAGACAAGGTGTCACTCATAGCACTAGTGCTGTTACCAGAACATTTACACTACAACAAAAATCCAACTTGCCCAATTTTATGGCCTATCAAATCACTCCACACTCCTCCCTCATCTCTCTCTCTCTCTATTCTCAGTGTGATGACTAATATTTACCCCAGTGGTCTCCGGGAGGCACAGAGAAGCACAGCCAAACCACAACTTCCCCTTCAGAGGCAGCGTCCCGCCAAAACACATGACATAAGAGTGGACCGCCCCAAGCCAAACTCCAGGATGTGTCCCCGCCTCACCCCTGGTCCCCTCTCCCTCCCTCCTCAGCCCCTCTGTCAGTGCACCATGTGACCACAGGGTTTCCACACACTGCCTGTCTAACCATCCACTTCAGATTTAAACTGTATAATCAAACAATAAGACCGCAACTAAACAGCCAGAAAGACAAAGTTTACAGTCAAGCAGCCCAACATGTACTCCAGGGCAGGAAAAGGAAAAATGCAGAGAATTAGTACACAGTGCTGGAAGTAAACAGCAAAAAGGTGTGTATTATGACTAGTTTACCATGTACAAGAGCAATAAGGATACTTTGTACAATATTTGTAGCCTTAATAAAGTGTGAAGAAAGACATGTTTGATTGATATTTGTAATGAACAAATACTTTATTAAGAAAGATTCAAGCTTGAATACTTAATAAAGGGGTTAGGAGGGTAGGGTATTAATTAAGTAGTTATGCAGTAGTAGTAGTTATGTATTAGGAGAAGTAGTAGTTATGTAGTAGTAGTTATGTGGAAGTAGAAATAGTGGTAGGTATGTAGTAGTAACAGTAGTTATGTAGTAGAAGTAGTTTTTATTTCAGGGGTTAGGAAAGCATTGCAAACACAAATACTTGCCAGTGGCATATTACATTAAACTTCAAACTATAATTCTAGTACATGTCAATTCATATGCTTAATATATTCATTCATTTAGCAGTGTGATATAGACTGAGGAAATAATCATAATTCATCAACGCCTTTTGACATTTGAGAGCGAAAAGCTTTTCTATCTAACTCTATCTACCACTTGTCTGACTCATGAATGTGCAATCCTGAAACAAGAGCCAAAGTCAAGAGCAATTATGGATGAAATTTCAAATAAACAAAAGTTAAATGAGACCAGATGAGAAAAAGAAAGAAATGTCCATAAACGTTGCACTAAAGTGAAAGGGATTGGACTTTACAGCAGACTGAATCCCATTGATACATCACAAGTGACTACATACCTCCTTCCACATGGCACATCCCAAGAATCCTTCAGTAGCTGCGCCAAAAATGTGCAGCAGTTTAAAATGGACCAACAAAACAACCACAGACAAAGTTCTGGCCCGACATGAGGAACACAGTGTCCAAAACAAGAGACCACAGGAAGTGAGAGTCACACAGCAGACACACAGAAGGCAGCACCCGGGGTGCATGGAGAATCAGGAGCTACATTTAATCTTATATTATCTTACTATATTATTCTTATGAGGCTCTTTTCAAATTAATGTGACATTTAACAGTTCTTTTCTCAGAACTTTCCGTGTATTATTTTAAAAGTGCACTACTAGTTAGAGCACTTCCCTCTTGCATAAGTAACTCTAGTTCTTTTTATTTCAACATAATCCAAGTGTTTTGTAAACACCAAAATATGCACATCAGTTTGTACATTGTATCCATAAAAATGCGAATCAAGTCAGACCAAAACAATATTTTCAACAATCACTCTTATGCTTAAAAGTGCACTGTGCAACAAGATGTTATTATTATTCTCATAGGAATTACCTATGTAATTACCTGAAATGAACATTATATCATTGACATCAATACTTAATCGTTACATATTGACTACAAGAGGCATAATAGTTAATCTGCTCTAACAACATTGAGCAACACAGCCAAAACTGTAAAGACACTTCCTCTTTCCATAAATCATGTAATAGAGTCTATTACTAAGTGCAACCAGCAGCAACCAAAACAACAGCTGGGAATTGTTCATATGCTACTTTTACTGAAGATGATCTATTAGTTATAGTGACATAGATGGTTGAAGTCATTAATAGCAGTAATAGTTACTGCAAATAGCACTAACATTGGCAGCACCAGACACAGCAACTGTGGAAGTAGTCCTGATTCCATAACAAGAGGTCATAAAAGTGCAAAGTTGAATCAAAGGTTAAATCCAAAATTTCTCCCCCAGTTGGTAAGAAAAATAAAATAAAAATAAAATGTATCAGTAAAGCAAAAATAAAAACAAACAAACAAAAAATGTAATACATAAATACTGATGCCAAAAAGTGTTACATTCCAATATAAGCCTGGTTGTTAAAATCTTGTGGTCCATGGGATGACCAGGCTGCTTGGAGTTTATGTGCACATCCTTATATACTCACACGCAGCCTCTAAGCCCTGCCTACTCTTTCCGTTTCCCATGGCAACACATAACCAAAACACAGCTCCATCTGGATCCAGGACACACCCCCGTTTGCCCCTTTGCCCCGGTCCAATACAAGGAAAAACTGATGCTACCATTGCCGAGGAAAATGTTGAATGTAAGTCCCAGTCATTTTTAAGGCACAATTTTTGAATCCGTTGCCATGGCTCCTCCTACCAAGTGTCTCGGGTTGTTTTATTTCCCGTTGGTTGTGCAATAGCAGGATTCCAAAGAAGTAAGTCACTGCTGCTGTAAAACTTACTGGCAAGAAAGAAGTGATGTGTGTGTGTGTGTGTTTCAGTCTCTCCGTTCATCTCGGCCTTATCAAAACCATGTGTCAGGAATTCTGTGTTAAGGCCTACAGGGACAGAAGGGACGCGCCGGAGACCAAGGTGATCGGAAAGAGAATGGGAAAAAGGAGAAATGTCGAGAAGGGGAGCAAGTGCATAGCAAGAAAGTTTGTGCATTTGGCTCTCGTACCTGCATCTATTAAATCCATAGTTCAAATCCATATCCACACCCTGAGACAAATTATGGTAGTATTTTTTTTTACCAACTCACTTTCTACTAATTACAAAGAACTGTCAACTGAGTATTTATGTTATGTCAAATGATCTCACGAAACACAAACACACAAGACATGCACAATATGCAATAATAATTAATAATACAATCCTCAATAAGTAGTCCTCATGACACTTTAGCTTAAGATAAGAAAAGAAGAGTGTAATGGATGCTATCATCCACTGTTGTCTCCACAGCTTTGAAGTATGCAGAACAGCCAAAATAAGACTACAAAAAGATTTTTTTTTGTGTGTGTGTATATATATATATATATATATATATATATATATTATTTTTATATATATATTTTTTTTTTTTTTTTTTTTCCTATTAATTATTATAAACGAGTGCCATTAATTATACACAAAACAGCTTAAACTAACTAATCTTCAGGTACACATACTTATTTTTCATGGCAGCAAACCTCCACAGATGTTATATACTTCATGTCTAGTTACTGAGAAATGCCTTGATGACCATCCCACTGCAGCCACAAGAATTCACTCTTTCCTGACCCAAATAAACCAGTGTTGATGAAAGGAGGCTGAGGAGCAGAGCTGTGAATGACAGGTCACCCAAAGGAAAAGGAGTAAGGTGAAGAAGCTGAAATTGTTGGAGGTTCAGACACATCTGGAAACACTTGGAGATTCCCTGAACATGTTTGAGAACAGCTCGCTCCTCACACAGACACAGGGCTTGGGTGTAAACCTGTGTATGTGGAGAGGAGAGACCCTGTGACGAGCAGGGAGGTAGAACCCAAATATTTATTCACAAGAAAAATTATAATATAGTAATGTAATCTTATTCATAGTTCTAATGTTCTAAAACATGCCTGCAAATGTCTTGGTTGAGGAAAATATCTAGCACAAAAAGTGGAAAAAAAAATCTAGAAAAATTATATTGTTGTTTGTATACCCTTTAAAAATTACACTGCGATTGTATTCAGCTCAATTGCCTTTAATATACAGTATATATTTGTATTACTACTATAGGCATTATACAGAATTATTCTGTATGTCTCAGGTATGTATGTTTGTATGTCTTTTGTTTGTGATAGTACAACAGATGACACTCCTGTCCTTTAGAATCTATATAATTATGCCACGGTGGTGACGCCACATACAGGTGACATGAGCACCAGGATATTCTTGTACAGTCAAAAATAGCTCACACGTCACATCTGTTGTCTCTGTCCACAAGGTGATGTGATAAAGTTATCATCGAATCTGATTTCTCAAAGAGCTTCATTAAAAAAAGATCAAATAAAGACACATATGTTGTTGATCCTCAGTGGTGAATGCAAATGATGACTGCTCCCAAATACAGGTCTTAATGTGTCACAGCAAACAAAGGCATAATAAGCTACATAACTTTGAGAATGGAGCTCTGAAGCTAAGCACAGTTGGAACTGCTAAGAACTCTGATGGGAGACCGCTGAGAACACCAGATTAGGAAGGTCGTGCACGATGCAGCAGCTCAGAGCAGAGCGGGACACTCTCACATCATCAACAATGGACCGTACACCTGTCCTAATATCAAATCTCTCTATGCCAGGGGTGGTACTTAAGCCATTAAAGCCACCAACCATATAGACTTCATCGTCCAGTACTGCGATCCCAAAGTTACTGCGTGGGTTAATCATAGACAACAGGGGGCACCATTGATGGGTCTCTGGGTTATAGGCCTCCACTGTGTTCAGGCAGGCATCCCCAGTGAAACCACCAACCTGAAGAAGTACTATTAGTCATTTCAAGCAGTCAAGTCTCTTTTTAGATTACTATTATAATTATTATTACTACAGTACTTGCAAATTAAAAGAAGTGAATTTACTCACAGATAATTACCTTGACTTATGTCAAAATATATTTGCAAATGTTCATAGTCTATGTACATACTCACAGCAAGGATATTCCCTGCATATGCAATGACACTGACACCTCTGCGTCGACTCCTCATGTCAGGGATCAAGGTCCACTGGTTGCTTCTAGGGTTGTAGCACTCAGCTGTGAACAGACACTCGGTCCCATTGAAGCCTCCACAAATGTAGATCTGCAGAGAGAAGACACGTGTGATATACGTTTTTATACTTACTTCATATATTTGATGTCTTCAGTATGTGTTTATGTAGAAATTTTTGACTGGTGCAAAAAGTGTGGGCGATAAATGTTCATGGTCTTCACCTTTCCATGTAGGGTGGCACTGCTTGCATTAGTCCTCTGATTGTGCATGGAAGCAATCATTGTCCACTGGTTAGTCTCGGGACTGTATCTTTCAGCTGTTTCCAGTCTCTCAGTCCCATCAAAACCTCCTATGGCATAAATAAACCCATCTAGCAACACCACACTCACATAACAGCGTCTTGAATGCATGGAGCCAACCTCCTGCCAGGACTCATGGGCCAGGTCATACTTGTGCACTGTGCAAAGCTGTTCAAAACCATCAAATCCCCCAATGACGTAGACACACCCATTTAGAAAGACCGTTCCGTGATATGCACATGGAGTCTCATCCCTATTAACAATCTCATTATCAATGAAGTGGTAACTGAAGTACTCAGCATCCATATGAGATAAATGCAGCTAAACGACAGTATAAGTCAAGATGTAGTAAGTTGAACATATTTTAACAGCTCACTTTACAATGTTGTTGTTTCATGTCACACATAAATGTACTAGTTACTCCTCAAACAAAAATAAGTAGAAAAAAAATATCAACATAATTTTGGCAGGAGATCTTTCATGTGCGCCTGCCTGTCCTGTGGCGAGTGGCTGATCCAGAGCAGGATGGCCTCAATCACAACAACCTCATGTCGCATATTCAGAAGGTCGTTTTCAATGAAACTCATCAGATCCTCCATTGAGAGCTGCAGGAAGCCGGAACAAGTCTCCCCCTTCCGAAAATGTGTCAGGATCATATAAGGTCTGTGGTCAGAAGACCTTCTGTTTCAGCTCGGGATAGTAGTAGGTATTAGTGATGGACCAAGTGTTGAAACAGGTCTGAGGGCTAAGGGACTCCTCTAGTGATTTACAGCAAGCCTGAGTGATCCCAGTCGCACTGAAGAGATCGGCAGTGATGAAAAGGTCCTCAATGTTGTCTTTGATTATTCTGACAGCCCCTATGTAGGCAAACTCTATTAAAGCTTGCATTATATCAGCTCACATGTTAGGGATGTCAGGAATATTGTTGTCTGAAGTGGACCATGTAATGAATAAAGATCTGAGGATCATAAGACAATTCAGGTTAAAAATATAAAACACATGGCCATTTTAACATGGCTTTTGTTCTGAACAGTTTTGGAGATGCTTGGACCACCATCTATACTATACTAAACAATTGGGAAAACCAATTAAGAATATAATATTAGACAACAGGTTTAGAGCATTCAATTTGTCCATCATCCCCAAGATATAATCAACACAGAAGCCAGGGTCATATAACAATATCAGTGAAGTGCTGTAGTTTTTCACTGTCAGACAATGACAACTCTGCTCTTTCTTATAACAGCATGAGAAAAAAATCCTTCTCTAACTCCAAATATGCATTGGGTTAATAGCAGTTTGCACCCCTTCTCTTAATCAGATGAGAATTGATGTTTCATGTCTTTCAACAAATGTATACTCACTTGAAGAAAGGGCTGCAGCTGCACATGACCAGTTTGTGCACTTTAAATTGTGGATCACAGTGTCACACAGGGACTGATCCCAATACAGCTCCTCAATCGCCATCATCTGGTTCGACATTGTAGAGTGAGCAGTGAGTTAGTGAAAAGTGAGGTGTTTCTAAAGTATACATCAAGAACAGAGCAGCCTGTTTCCATAAAGCTACAGTCTATCATTTGCATATTTAAATGACATATTTTAAAATTTTGTTGGACCTTTCCATTGAGAAATTGTATTTTTTAGGATTTTTAAGTCTATTTGATGTATATTTATTTAGCCTGGGCAATTTTGCCTGAAAATAAAATTTAATTTTCAATTTTTTCCCCACTAAAAATGTTCCGCAAACTACAGAAAAAGTGAAAAAAATGTATTCAGTGATCAGTGGGGACTTTTATGAATGAGATAAAACAAACTATTGCATTAAACAAGCATCCTCAACATTTAATTTGACATCACTGATTTGTCAGCTCTGCATAGCCGTGTGTTAAACTCTGCTCCCCGTGACTGCAGTGAGCAGTCTCTGTATAAATATGACCATGCACTGTAAAAATCTAATAAATAGATCTTACGTGAAGAAATCTAGGAGACACTAAAAAATCTATTTCTTGTAAACAAATCTATATGAATTCCCATTCCTAATATTATATCACATTTTTATCAGCTGAAATTTTTGGATATCATTAACTGTCAAATGGGCCTGTCAAAAAAAAACAAATTTTGAAGCATGATATATTACTACAGAGAATATAAAGATAAATGATAATATTGAAACTATTTTATGCCTCTAACACAATAAAAATAAACCAGGATAAACATAGTGAACCTTTTCTAAATAGACAGAATCATTTAAAGGCCTGAACTGCAACATTAAGCGTTACTTAACCATAGAATTCAATTGTTCAACCCACAATTTTATTGTATTACAACTAAAATAACAGAAAAAACATTAATGCAAAGATAAAGAATAAATTTAATACTGAGCCCAAAAACATATAATTTCATTTCATACTAGCATATTGAATGACAAGATGACATAATACATATTGTAAGTTTTTTTTTTTTATATATTTATAGAGCGCTTTTCAAAGATTCATTCACACCATACCCAATGAAGGTAAGCTACTATTGTAGCCACAGCTGCCTTGGGGCATACTGACAGAAGAGCGGCTGCCAATCTGCGCCATTGCTCCATCCTACCACCACCATCACTCACACACCACTTTCATACTAGGCAATGTGGGTGAAGTGCCTTGCCTAAGGACACAACAGTTTTTGTGACTGGCAACCCACTGTGGCACCTGATTTTTCCAGTGGTCTCCAATCCAAGTACTAACCAGGCCCGGCCTTGATGAGGTTCTGAGATCGGACGAGATCAGGTTTTGACAAGTTGGTATGGCCATGTGACAGGCCTATTGTTAATTCTAAAAGGAAAACACAGTTGGCCTGTCACAATAAATAAAATAAATAAATAAAATCAGCTTATCACTGATGGAACAATTTTTGAGCTCAGTATTTACTGTGTATACCTTTTATTTGCACTAGTAATACACTTTTGTAGAATTTTAACGTTCAGTCAAATTATTCTAAAACACACTGTGAAAATTAAGCAACAACTTAAGTTTTTGCGTTTGCGATGTTGCAGTTTGTGTATTTTAATATGATTCTTTAGAAAAGGGTTTACTGCAGTTATCCTGCTTTTGGATTATTCTGTCAGTGACATAAAGTAGTTTCAGTATTATTGTTTATTGCAATACTTCCTGTAGCAAATATTGCAATTTAAAAATGACCCAAACAGGCCTAGATACTAACCAAACATGATTATCTTTCTTACTTTATTAAAACAATTTAGTAAAACAATTCTATAATATGTAATGGGAAAAAACTAAAGAAATATACTTATTGTCAAAATATTATATTTGATAACTTGGATACTTGGTGAGAATGGTTTCCTAACCATATACCTAGTCATGCATGCTAGTAATGGATAAATGAATACATTTTTGTCAAATAATTTATTTAGTCAGTGATGCAATCCTGAGAATAAGAATGCAGTTACCTGATTTTTGACATGAGACCTGAATCTACAGTACACGAAAACAAGAGCAAACAGCTTCCCATTAGACCTTGTTAATGAGTGCAACATCTGATGATATTTTTGTCACAGGAAATAACATTTGTCTCATAGATAATTTCATTGAAATCTCTTGAGGAAGTCCTGGTAAGTTTGCCTGTGAGCAGATGCGGCTGGAACAAAATGTCCGCCGGGGTGGGTCAGTATTTGAGGGTCTTTGAAAACGGGGAGGAGATCTTTACTCATGTGGTCTGGGATGACTCTGTCCTCCTGCCCAAACAACATGTAGGGATGGGATCTGAAGAGGGCTCTCGTAAAACCTCTCATGCTCCGTACAGGCACTGCGGAAACCAGCGACCAGGATGGCGAATCTGAAGTGAAAATCCGGCTCTAGGTTTTGTTCCTGGAGGGAGCAAAGCATGGCCACAAACGCTGCTCCCTGACTGAAGCCCAGGATGCCATCAAAGGGTCCTTGGGTCTTTACAGCATCCCTCACAGCGGTCACGCTCTGGTCCAGCCCCAAACTCACCTCACACTTCTGCTGTGCACTGAAGCTACGTGCCGCCACATCAGAGAACCACCATCCCCGAGGATTGCTCTCTGCAAGAGGGCCTGGGTTGATCTCTTTGTTTGGGGACACCAAAAAAAGAAATAATAACAAAGGTTCAGAGGCATCAGGTCGAATCGTTTTGATTTTACACGCCAAATTCTGAGTCTTCAAATCTAGCTCTCAATTAATAAACTTGATTTAAATAGACAGAGAACAAGGAAACCAGACTAATAAATGAATGAAGTTCATAAAAAAGCCTACAGTGTTTTTTTTTTATTTTTTTTTTTTACAAATGATTTACAAAGTACAAATGATTTCTCTTCTGATGGTAAGCATGGAACATTGTCTACAGGATTCATATTTTCATTCAAGTAAGACTGAATAATCAGGCTAATGGCATTACCGATAAATGTAAATGCCTGTAAACTACCAGGACGAAGAAGACGAACAGTATTACATAATCAAAAGGCATTATTTGCGGAGTCAGGTGTATCCTCCGTTGCACTGACCGTTGCCGGTGGCCGGGCTCTGCACGCTGAGCGGCGCCTCCATGAACACCAGCTCCACGCTCTTCTTCAGCAGTTTCCGCAGGGCTCCGGTTTTCTCTCGGAAAGAGCCGCTGTTCTGCCGGTAACCGTGAATGCACAAGATCCGCAGGGGTGCCATCGGAAAGGCTTTGCTAATGGACTCAACATTCACAACATTGACACAATATTAACAAATTACTACAACGATCAAGTCCGGTGAAGTTGTGAAGCACGGAAATACTTTTTCAACCGGAAGAAAAGTCAGCACTTCCGTTGCTGTCAAATATTAATACAATATTTTATAGAAATACATGCATAAAATTACAATAATCAATTAAATGTGATACAAATATGACTTCATGAACTATGTATAGCAGTAGGCTGTCACTTTTCTGAAAGAAAATGATGATTTATTATTATTTATTTTTATTTTTATTTTTATTCTTAAGGGAAATGCTGCACTCTAGTGGTGGAAATAAAGGATCTTGACGTGAACTTGTTTTAATTTAAATTAATTGTGGCCTCCTACATTGTATCACGCATGATGATGATGAATGGTTTGTGATAACCAAAATTTCCTGCTTGGTGGCTAACATTGCACAAGAAATGTTTTGTCAATGTTTAAATATTTATGTCCCATCAAACAGATCAAAATCAGTTGACTTAAGTCGTCATTATTTATCCAAAGTCTTTTGATCCCAACCAAATTTTACATCAAAAGTGTTCAAACAGAGCAGTGGCGGTCAGGTGGCACAGGGGATGTGGGAAATGAAAAACAAGTGTGGACAAGTCAAAGAAACACATCTTACTGACTTCATCTCACTGCTGATCAAAGCTTTGGGCTGGGGCAAAGAATCATTTGAGGTTTCAAAGCAGATGTGACGTTTTAGGCCTGTGTTTGAATATAGATGTTGCTGGAAGCTTTAAGAATTCCACTCTTTCCTTGTTGTTATAAGGAGGAGATTTAGCAGCAACATTCCTGTTCTGTTTTATTCACTCAAGGTTTAAGCCTAGCCTATTAAACCAGAACTACGTTAGGTCTGGAAGGGAGAACTAAACAAGGTTTACAACTAAAACCTCATAATTCAATAAAGATTGCACAGACCTATTTCATTCTTAAACAATCAGAAAAAAGCTATCTGCATACATCTTGAGGCCAACTCATATTTAAGCCCAATTCATTTAGGTACCACTATAATTATTACTATTTTATTATAGTTACTAGGCCTATTGTTATGGACTATAATTTGCCCCATAATATGGAAAAATGTAGTATTGCAACAATAAAATACGCTTAACAATAAAAACATATCTAATAATTATTGAATGGTGGTACATACCAACACTGGGGTTCTGCAGATATACTACTGCATATGTTAAGCAACTAGCAGGCCTACCATGACTAATTTCTAAACACTAACACAGAATAGATTATGTTGTTTCTTGTTTCAGTGTACGTATGTGTTAAATGAGGCATGTTTCTCTGCTGTGACAGGTGTGATCAGGGGGACGGGGGTCCTCCTCTGCTGCTGTCCCCTGGACTCAGCTCACACACATGGACACAGTTAGTTTTCTTTGATGACATTGTTTAGTTTTTGAAGGCGCTCTGTCAATTAGGTTTGGAGAAGGTCCTTTGTTTCTGGGAAGCTGTGTGGAGTTGCCTCTCGCAGTGACGCACATGCTAATTAAGGAGAGTGAAAAACACAGACCCAGGGGACAAGGCTGTGGTCCAGGAGAGAGGGAGGGAGAGAGACCTGCCTTTAACATTTCTCTTTGCATTAAGGACACACTCAATGAGGTACAGACTTTTTTTTAAATTAATTACCACCAACATTTGTTTTTCAGACAGTTTTTTAGTCCAATAAAATATTGGTCTGGTTTTGCAGGACTTAAGTCAGGTGGAAATGGGTTTAGGAAAGTTTTTGCCTATTTATATAAACCATTAATTAAATATAACATAATAACACAGATTAAACATACTGAATATGTATAGGTTTTTAAATGACATTAGCAAGTCAACACCAAACCAGCATACCTTTAGGCTACATGTCATCCCAGTTTCTTGCATATTTATTATTCAGCCATCATCTAGCACCTATAGAAAGCTAATATAATCAACATAATATTACTATGTGCAGAATTATTACATCCTGTCTATTTAACATGAGACCCTTTGAGTGGAAGGCAAGCTTTAGGCTGGGCCATGCCACAGTGAAGGGCACATCCTTCTATGAATATTGCACCAGACATGCCTTTGTCTTACTTACTGATTTAATTATACTATACTTTGCTCTGTATAAATATGACCATGCACTGTAAAAATCTAATAAATAGATCTTACGTGAAGAAATCTAGGAAACTGATTGCCTTGGTCTGTGAATCTAAAACTGAGTTTACAAGTAATTCCTCAGTGTAGTGTACAGTAAATTCCTCTTTCATCTAACTAGGCACAGCGAAGTTAAGTGTACTTTAGTTTTCATTCATAGAACACATGTGAAGCTGCCAACTAATCATTGAGTTACTCAAATCTGAAATATGTAGTAACCTTTACTTTAAGAGTAACTTCATCTTACTTGATAAAACCACCTCCATTTGCCTTGAAGTTAGACGAAAAACAGGTTCTGTTCTACAATAATGCCATTTAGAACAGAATCAGGTACACAGGGATTTGAATATTTATTAGTCTTTGAAAAAAACGTAGAAAAAATGTTGTTCATCTTAAGTTCAAACATGTGTAACCATAAAATAATATTGATTGGTTATTCAATACCAACTCAACCAAGGCAACTTGAGGCTCAAAAAATGTTGGAAGAAACAAAACAGGTGTACAGGTGTAATCTAGCAAAGACTGAATGAACAGAGGGAGGATATAGATGTCCCGGGATGATCAGGGAATGAATGGCTGCTGTAGATAACACAGGGAGGTAGCAAATGGAGAACAGGAACAGACTGGGAAATGAAACTGGACTCCTGGCAATAATGTCACTGTCACTGTTGAAGGTACTTGTCCCATTCAAGTTGACAAGCCATGTGCTTTTTTCACCCTGAAAGTAACTGATGCTTTACCACAATCATTAAGATCCACAAATTCATAGCTGTGAGTAAAGTAAACTATGCAAGTTAAACCTAGTGTTAGATTTTAGAGTGTGTGTATATTTTATCTTTACAGGGACACATCTGTCATACTGACCACAGTCAAATGCTTAACAATTAATTTTCAGTCACAGATAGCTTACTGCATAAAGCTTATATTTGCATAACAAATTCAAAGTTGTCATAACATTTTTTGATTACTACAAGAAGTTGGCAAAAGGTGAGATAAGGATTATCTGGTTGTTATTTTGTGTGTGTCCACATGGGGGCAGTAGTGTATCATTGATGATGCAGTTCAGCTGATCCAGTTTAGAGAAATGTGCAGCCAGCTTTCTACTGAGGAGGAGCGTGCTCAACTGCAATACATACTTCTACAGCTCAATTTAAAATTTGTACTTCCAATGACTTGTACTGCTACTTCACTTACTAGAAGACACATGAAAGTCATTGTACACCACTTTGAGTACAGCAGTCACTACTCCTATTACTCCTTCTCCTATGGGTTTGAGTACAAACCAACTAAATATGAACTAACGAACCTGTTGCCGACGCCACATCCAATAAGGAGGTTTCACTTCTACTTTACTACAGTGACTACTCCGTCAAAGACAGACTGAAACGACCTCTTGTTGGATGCACAATAAAATGTATATAAGATCCACATATATTTGATATTAAGTAGGCCAGCTGGGAGATGAATAAAGCTGTTTTCACTGTAGGCAGGTGAAGCTCCACAGTGAAGCCCCCCCCCCCCAGCAGCAGACATTACTGCAGCCCTGTCTGTCATCTCGAGGTCTGTGATATGGCGTGTATGTAAGGACACAGAGGATGACATTTGATTCATTTATAAAAGCGGAACAAACGCCTACCAAGATATTATATAAACTGAATATATGCTCAACTTTATCATCGACAGCCAAATCACTTACAGTATAGCTTCAATAAGTAGCTATTACGTTTATACTCAGAGATTTGGGGGTCTGAAGTAAGACTCCTTAACAGAGATGGCCACAAAAATAAGAGGGGACCATAACAGACAATGCCAGATTATATGTAGAGAACAATTCAGTGAGTGAAAGTATTATCTTACTTAAACAAAAAGTACCTGTAAAGTACCCATACCCAGTATGATATTACAACTTCTACTATTGCTTAAATTACAAGTGCTTACAACAACAAATTCTAGCAAATACTGGGACTACTATTTTACTTGTTAATTATCTTCACTTAAAATGTCCTTGTTGCGTCGTGAGGTGTTCAGGTACACTGCTGCAATCCAGATAAGACCACTTCAGAAACTGTCCGATAAAAGACAGTTTTTTGAGCCGTCGAGTCACAGATGTTATCAGTGTGCAGCGCAAAGATGACGGAGGAGCAGGAGTTGACAAGCCTGTGTGTATAAGATCTGAGCAATAATACCAACGACAGGGTGTGACAGGCCCTGATAAAACTCTTCAAACGTAAATTACTTGAATATTTACAATGTGTTTTGCTATGGCTCTGTCATCAACATCATTTAATATAATGCACTTTTTTCCTCAACACTTAAATGTGCTCAATGTAGATGCGCAGCTGGAGGGTCCGTCACCTGATTGTGTCCATGGAGATTATATTGCTTTGCCTAAAATTTTACCCACTGTGGCATTACATGTATCTGTCTAGCATTACTTCAGTTGGTGTTGTTTTTATAGTCAGATCTAACCAGTAACTTGGCCTGGACTTAATGAAAATAAATAAGTTAAATGCCATACTGTGGAACATTGCAGAGTAAGCAATAATAATAGATGCATCAACATTTTCAGACTTCTGGTCATTGTGCAGTGCATACTGGGAAGGATGATACAAAATGTTCACTGCAAACTCTGGATGATTTAGGCAGTCAAAGGTTACCTTTTTCATCCTTCCTGTGGATCAGTACTGCCCATCGTCTTCACCTTTCACTATTTTTCAATTCTGTTGGGAAAGGAAACAGTTTGAACAGAGGTTTGCAGTCACACAGACCTGATTCCCTTTTGCATTTATGGAGTTGGCAAACAAATTTCTCGAGCAGTTTTCCAGTGTTAGGACATCCAACAACCACACAATTACGATGTCCGAATCCCATAACTAAATTATGACAGTATCAGAACCAGAAACAAAAGTGATACGGTTCAAAAGACTA